TTGCTTAATTAAATTATCAAACTTAAAATTTTATTTAATAAAATAAATTTATTATAAGAATTAAGTTTTGAATTTTTCATTTTATTTTATTCAAATTTTTTTTTTTTTGAAAAAAAATACATATTTTAATAAACATATTTTTAAAAAAACTTAAAAAAAGCTTAGTGATGACTATGGGTTTGTCTGTTGTGGCCTGGTTTTCCACAGATGCTATACTTGATCTTGTTTATAGAGTCATGTTTGCGCTTGTGAGTGCCAATACTAACATGAGTATGTTTGTTATAATCATACATATAAATGTCTGCAGCACGACATATAGAACAAGATTTTTTTTGACGTATGGATAGCTCAGCACAACCCAAACTCAAAAAAATTACCAACAAAATAATAATAATAATTTTCTTATTCATAATCTAAAAAAAAAAAAATGATATTTTTTTTAATTTAATAATACATATAAAAAAAAATAAATAAAAGATAATTACTTTTTTTTAATATTTTTTTTTTTTTAAAAAAAAAAAATGTAGATAATGCATTTAAATAAGTTTAATATATACAATATAAATAGTATAAATAAAATTTTTTATTTATATTGTATTATAAAATACAGTATAATATAAATAAAATTTTTTCATATATTTTATATTTTTACAGTACATGCATATAGTTAAATAAGCTGTATATGATGTATTTTTACACTATAATATAAATAAAAATTTTTATTTATATTGTACTGTAAAAATATACATATAGTATATGATGTATATTTTACAGTGCAATATAAATAAAAATTTTTTTTATTATATTATATTGTAAAATTTACATATAATTAAATAATAATATAATATAAATTAATTAAAATAATTGCATATATTTTTACAATACAATATAAATAAAAAATTTTATATAAAATTTTTTATTTATATTGTACTATAAAAATATATGTGCATGTAGTTAAACACAAATTAGGTTTAATATTGTTCTAACTATGAAAAATTCTTTTATAAAGAATACTAATCAGTAGATTATATGTTAGCAAATAATAAATATTTTTTTGTTTTTTTTTTCTAATGAGTAAGTTTTTTGCTCATAGAAATGTTTATGATATTTTTACACTATGTTAGTAATTTTGTGAATAAAATTAAAGCTTTTATAAGTAATAATATTTTGTTTATTCAGATAATGACCACTGCTACCAACTCAGCATCAGAAATAAACAAAGTACAAACTATCATAAATAAACTGAGGGAAGAAAATGCTGCCTTAAAAAATGCGAATGAAGATTTGAAAAAAGAAAATACCCAATTGAATGAAAATAATATAAAATTAACTGATGAAAATAATAAACTAAAAGATGAAAATAAAAAATTAAATACCTCAAACAATTCAAGCAAAGAAATGATAAGTGATGCAAACCAAAAAGCAAATGTTTCTCTAAAGAATTTTGGTGTTAAGTATGAGAGAACTGAAACTTTAGGAAGCAAAATGGATAAAATCGTGAAAGTTAGTGAGAAGTTAAAAATGGTAATGATGTTGTAATTGTGTAATCATATGATTTAATTATTTATAAATATGTTAGATTCTGGTTTTTAGTTTTTTTTCTTTCTTTAATATTTTAAAAAAACATTAAATATATATTTTTGTTGTTTTTTTTATTTTTATTATTAATTTTTAATCTTGTTCTTTTTAATAATAAAGATAACATAAATTATAAATAAGCCTTGTGTTCTGTTTAATAAAGAAAAAAAAAGAAATGCTTGATGTATGTATTCAATTAATTAATTTAATTTATTTAATATCTTGTTAATAACTGATTTTTTTCTTGCTTATCGGTTTCATATGGCAATTCTCAGAAGTATATTATATGTACTATGGATTTTGGAAATTTGGTTGTTACATATATGGATATTGCTATGAAAAATTTTTTTTAACAATATTTGTATTATATTTGATAATTGGGTTATATACACAAGTTGCAGGGTTTTTAATTGAAAATAATCATAAAGAAATCTATAAAACAATTCTGTAGTTATTAATTTTTTTTGTTTATTATAATGTGAGTTTCTGGCTTACATTGATGTATTTTAGAAGTATTTTTATGATTCTTTTTGATCTTGTTAATGTGAAACCACAATAAATTATATTATATAACAAATCATGTCTATCTTGAATATATAATTTATATAATGAATTCCAAATATAAAAAAACAAAAATTATAAATAAATAATTCAATAATTCTAATCGACCAAAATGTTAACAGAAACTGGAAAAAAATAACTACTATTGAAGTTGTTCTTAATGAAATAAATTTTTAAAAAAAATTAAATAAATATTCTCTAACTACAGAAATTTTTATGAATTGTCTAAGTGGTTCAGGTGTATGTTGGTCAACAAAATCAATAATTAAATCCTTTAACCAGTCAGAAGTTTCATCAAATAACTTTGAAAACCAATGTGTTTTGTAGTAATTAGATTTAGTTGATAAAACATTATTAACTATAATTAATGCATCAATATCCTTTTGTTTGTCCTGAAGCATTTTCTTAACATCTTGAAAAATTTGAATTTGTGTTTCTTTCAATCATCATAGAGATTCTAAGTAATCTGCTTTATCATCTTCCATTAGTTTGATAATCTCATTAACTTTATCGAATAACTCTTTTACTTCATCCATAATGTGAAATCATATAAATACACAACTCTTTTTATATTTTTACTTATAAAACAGAATAGGTAAAGTTAATAATAATAAACTTAAACTGCTTATTAAAAAATCAAAAAACAAAGATGAATTAATAAGAAAAATAGTAGATAATGATCCTGATTATGCTATAATGAACTTGGAAAACATAGAGAAACTTGCAAATATTATTTACAATGTTGATGAGTCAAAAGTAAAAAAATGTAAAAAAGAAACAAAACAGAAGAAGAAGAAGTAAAAGAAAAAAAACAGTCTAAGTATCAGCAATTCATGAGAAATAATTATAGTGAAGTAGCATCTCATCATAAAAACAGTATTGAGACTATAAAAGTGATCGCAAAAATGTGAAAAACAAGCTCTGAAAATTCAAAGAATGGATCAGGGTTTTTAGAAACTATATAAATATCTGAGTTCTCTCAATTTTTACAAAATTTAAATGGCAGATTATTCTGAATTGTGTGAACAATATAGTAAATCCAAACTTAAAATAGATATCATAATTGCTTATTTACAAATTTTTCTTTTAGTCGCTATAATTTATACAATATTAGTATTTCATATTAAATTTGTCGATATCGATTTTAAATTTATATCACATATCTTGGCACATTCAAACATTCTGGTGCGAGAAATATTTTATAACATAGTTCTTTTCATCGATTCATTCAGACAAAGTGGCATCCAGTAAGAAAAAACAAATTGTTAAACGAAAAATCACCAAACCAAAAACAATCACAAAAAGAAAATCAACTGCAATTAAAAAAAGAACATCACCTCTAGTTTCAAAGATAGTTAGAAAGTGTAACTTGTGTGGTTGTAAGAACAAAACATGCCGAAAGATAAAAAAGTAAAAGTTTCAAAAAAAGCACCTAAAAAGAAAATATTATCAAATAATGCTTGCAGAATCACATGGTGTGAAGATGAAGAAAAACTAAATATATGTCAAGCAAAAAGACCTATAGGAACACAAATTACGCGAATTGAATTTGGTCCTAAAAAGGAAAACAACCGCACATTTTATTTTGATACATTGTATCAAAGAATATTACCTTTCAGACTTTTTCAAACTAAAAAATTTGAACCTTTTACAAGATTTACTTTACATGATATTTCGATACATTTACAAATCATAACATATCATAACAAAGATAAAACAAGAACTATCAGGATCCCTACTCTAGCAGGAACCACTATAATTACTCCTTTAATCTCACAAATGATAATCAAAAGTTATATTTTAGAAATTTGTGATCGAAAACTGCTTAAGAAAAAAAATATTAATTTCTTTCTTGATGATCTATTAATGGATAAAGACTTTTAAAACATAGAATTTAACACCAAAAAAGTTAAACCATTGCTTGAAGACATTCAAGAAATTGATTGTAGTCTATGTAATTTCTCTGAGAATGAAATAATCATGTATTTAGATCTTAGCAAAATGCAAGTCTTTCTTTCAACTGGTGAAACTGAAACAGAATCAGCTGTTTTTGATAAAGGAAATTACTAATTTGGGATGTTTTTAGATTACTGTGATTTTATGTATAATTTTAAAAAAAATACACTTAATGTTGAGTCAAATACATATTTTCTAGGAGAAAACTATGATTTTAATAATGGCAACTTAGGTATTCCTTCATTCACAGGAAAAGGCTATATTGAATCAGCATGAACTCCTCACTTACAAGGTCAAGATTATCAAAGAATAATAGCAAAAATGGCAAATTGTTGTGATGAAAAAGAAGCATAGATTTATTTTTTTATTTTTTTATTCTGTATTTAAAATAAACTATTTTATTTCTGAAAACATATAAATAAACATCATTCATGAACTTTTCTTAATAAAAATGAATTATAGTAAAGTACATCCAGCAAATGCTTGTGTTGTTACATATTGTAATAACCCACAAAAAACTAATTCTTGTATAGGGAAAAGAGATCCTGATGCAACAGTTGATATTGATATAACTCCAAAACCAACAAATGGGTGATTTTTCTATGTAGATTTAGATTCAAGATTTCAACTCATAAGATTATTTCAACAACTAAATCCTAACCAGAAACATATTGAATTACATGACATTGTTATATGTATGAACATCACATCTTATCATAATGAAGATAGAGACACTACCTTTCAATTAGAAACAAGTGCTACAGAAAATGTTATAATTACCTCTTTAATTAGTAATATGAAAATAAAGTTTTATATAATCGAAATTTGTGATCAAATCGTAGCTGAACAAAATCAACCTGAAATAGGTGATATTATTGTAGATTGTGATGTACAAAATGTTCAATTCAGAGAATATATTACTCCTCATTTAGAGTATATAGAAGAAATTTTATGTAAAGGTTGTGAATTACAAATACATCAAATTGAGTTTTGTATAGAACTTGATAAATTAAAAGTTTGTAGATTAGAAAAAAATGATGAAACTGATGCATTTACTTTTGACCAAGGAAATTACATACTTGTAATTATGATTGATTACTTTGACTGGATGTATAAATTTAAAAAAACTGCTGAAGAGCCTGATGCTGATAAATTTGGTGAAACCTTTGATATTGAAGAAGAAAATTGTGGAATTCCATTATTTATAACTTACTTACAAATGGAACTTACCTGGAAACCTGACTTTGATTCAACTAATCCTGTAGATGTGCTTTTCAAAATGATGACAAAATGTTGTAAAGATAATGATGATGATGATGATAGTATTGTAGTTGATAATGTATAATTATTATTTGTTGTACCTAAAATTAAAATTATATAAATAAACAAATTATTTACTATTTTTCTTTAAAAATGAAACTTCTTAAAATTCTTATTATTCTGTTACTTTTTTTAAATATGATTGCTGGTACTCATATCAAAGCTAAAACTAAAACTAAATCTAGAACTAGAGCTAAAGCTAAAGCAAAAAATCAAATATCAGTATCAAAAAATCAAATATCAGTAGATGTAAATTATTTTTCATTACCTCAATTATATACATGGAATTTTAAAAAAGGAATATATGAAAGAGTATTAACAAAAAAAGGTACTATGTGTAAAAGCTATTCTGGAGGTTTGTACATCCAAACATTTCCTCCTCAAGGTAGAAAGGCAAAATATGTGCCAGTATATAAACCTAAAGAAGCAAATATAAAAAGACCAAGATTATGAAAATCTATAAATAATGATTTTTTTTTTTTTATTAAAAAACAAAATGACTTCTGAAATATTTTTGTTGCTTCTCATTTGTACAAGAATGTACCATAACAACATAAATAACCAAACAATAATTGTTATCAATTATAATAACAAAGAGCTTTTCGAATTCATTAACATGATAAATGAATCTTTTATTAATAAATTCATTTCATTGACTGATGAATTCAAACATTATGAAAGAACATTAATATATAACGAAGAATTTATTAACCATGATATAGATTTCGAAGAATTTGATATAGGAATTACTGACAATATTAATTTTATTTATTATTTATTTAAACAATATTTGTAATATTTTATTTTATTTAAAAATAAAAATAAAAAAATATATATTTTTTTACATTTAATAAAAAAAAACAAAAAAAAAGAAAATTAATATTAAAAAATGTATAATTATTCTATTTCAATAATTTCTTTGCTGACTTTGACCACCCAGTTGATTTTTTGCTCAAATGTTTTATTTTTATCAAAATTTACTTTGAAATTATTTAATACTTGTTCAATTTTATTAATCTATAAAATATAAAAATAAATAAAAAATAAATAAATAAATAAAAAATAAATTAAATAACAAAATTACCAGATTTTGTTCAATAACAGTTGTAGTTTGTTGGTTCTTTGCATTTTCTTCGAGATAACTTAAAAAATTATGAAAACTTGTTTGATAAGATACTAACACTAAAGAAAATGCTAAAATTTGATATTTTGTTTCTATTGAATTTATTATTATTTGATGTTCTCTATCATGCATAGGCAGCCTATAAGGTGATCCTGTATGTATAGTTTTATAAACAATAATTTTAAAATTTAGATAATTACTCATGGTTTTTTTTTTTAAAAAAAAAAATTCACTTAGCTTTTATTAAAAAATAATACAATAAAACCAATATTAACTTGAGCAACAAACTTACATAATCAATTAAAAAATATTAATATAAAAAAAAATAAAATATTACAGATGCATAATAAATAAAATAAATAAAAAGATTAATTTAACTAAATTAAGTACTGAAAACTGTAAATAAATAAGAAAATTTACTTTAAGTTAATAATTTAAAATGAATTTTGCTATTTAAATTTATGAAATAAAATTGATGTATTTGTTCTCATAAACTAAATAATATTTAAATAAATTAATTAATCTTTTCAATAATTCAAATTCAAATAAATTTTTGCGATTTAAATTTATAGAATAAAATTGATGTATTTGTTCTCATAAACTTCAAATCATTAAATGAATTTTTGCTATCTAAATTCATGTTAATTTAATAAAATAAAATTGATGTATTTGTTTGAATCAATTTTGTTTAGATGGGCTAATAGATGATTTATATTAAATGAATCTTTGCTATCTAAATTTGTGTTCATAGAATAAAATTGATGTATTTGTTCAATAAATTATTGTTTAAACAAATTAATAGACCATTTACATTGAATGAATTTTTGCTATCTAAATTCATGTTAATTCAAATAATAGAACAAAATTGATGAATTTGTTCAAATCAATTATTGTTT